AGTTCGATTGTGAGATCGATCGAATGAAATAGATCGAGTGAAATCGATTGTGAGATCGATCGAGTGAGATCGATCGAGCGAGACCGATAATGAGATCGATAGTGAGATCGATAGTGAGACCGATCGAGTGAGACGTTGGTTCCTCCCCCCCCCCCGAACCTCCTTATCACCCGAAGCGTGGTCGTACAGGTATGTAGGTCTGGCTGTGTGTATGTATGCGTGTATGTGTGTATTAATGAATGTATGAATGTATGCATGTATGTATGTATGTCTATGTGTCTGTGTGTCTCTCTGTCTGTCGGTCTGTCAGTATGTATATCTGCCCGTCGGGCTGTCTGTTTGTCTGTCTGTCGGTTTGTCTGTGTGTAAGTATGTATGTATGCATGCATGTATGTATGTGTGGATGCATACATGCACGTATGCGTTCATGCATGTTTGTGTGCATGTATGTGTATATGCCTGTATAGATGCATGTTTGCGTGTATGCATGTATGCATGTATGCCTGTACGAATGTTTGCGTGCATGCATGCATGTATGTATGCATGCAGGTAGACAGGTAGGTATGTAGGTAGGTAGGCATGCATATATGCATGTACATATGTATACATGTATGTATGTATGCATGAATTCATGTACGTATGTCTGAATGTAGTCATGCATGCATGTATGTATGTACGTATGTATGTAAATGTGTCTGTCTGTATGTATGCATGTATGTATGTATGTTTGTATATGTATGCGTTGATGCTTGTATGTATGGTTGTACGTATGAATGTATGTATGCATGTGCAAATGTGTGTGCATATGTATATCTACAGATACATGAATGTACTTGTTATGCGTGTAAATGTATATATCCATTCCAATAAATCCGAAAGATGCTTTGTGGGTTTGCGTGGGCCCCCGGTCCCCGGAGCCCTCAGAGAACCCCGAAACGGCTCCGGAGGGCCCCTGGAAGGGCCCGAAACGGCATGGGAGCTCCCCAGAAGAGCCCCGAGACGGCCCATGGAGGCCCCGAGACGACCCAAGACGGCTTTCAGGCAGTCCAAGATGTTTTCCAGACGACCCCATGAGCCCCAAAGACGCCCCCGGACGGCTCAAGGCGGGTCCAAGGGGTCCGCCAAAACGGCTCCATTAAGCAAAAATCGTCACAGCCCCTTCGGAAAATTTGACTTTTTCCGCAGATTCGGCTTATTGGTCTTCGAAGCGTCCAAAGCGGCACCACAAGCCTGCAAGATCGCCCAAGACGGCCCCCAAGAGGGCCCAAAGATGGTTCCAGACGGGCCCAGGACGGCCCAAGAGGCGCCCAAGACGACCCAAGAGGACCCCACGAGAGGCGCAAGAGGGGCCCAGGACAGCCCCGAGACGGCTTATGGAAGGCCCGAGACGACCTCAGGCGGCCCAAGATGCTTTCCAGACGGCCCCATGAGCCCCAAAGACGCCCCCGGACGGTTCCAGACGGGTCCAAAGGGTCCCCCGAAAGGGTTCCGTCAAGCTAAAGTCGTCACATTCCTTTCGGATAATCTGACTTTTTCAGCAGGTTCGGCTTATTGCTTTCGAAGCGTCCACAACGGCCCCAGAGGCTTCCAAGATTGCCCAAGACGGCCCCCAAGAGGGCCCAAAGATGGCTCCAGACGGGCCCAGGACGGCCCAAGAGGCGCCCAAGACGACCCAAGAGGACCCCACGAGAGGCCCAAGAGGGCTCAGGACAGCCCACGATGGCCCTAAGACGGCCCGATAGGCGCCCAAGATGGCCCAAGACGGCCCCAAGACGGCCCACGAGGCGCCCTGCCGGCCCAAGAGGGCTCCGAGAATCCCCCGAGGAGCCCAAAACAGCCCCCCTAAGAGCTCCCAAACGGCTCCCAAGAAGCTTCAAAATTGCTTCCAACAGAAGGGGGCGGACGAGAGGCGAGAGGCCCCTCGCAGGCGAAAAAAATTAGCCTGACGAAGGACCCAACCATATGCAGGTGTGAGTACCGCAATTGTGATTCACTTTTTCGGTGGTGATCCCTATGAGGCAACGAACCGTGCTAGGGGTATGCCGACAGGAGTGGCGTGGTACACAACGCGAACGAAAACGATTGATCTGAGTACGTAGGGAGACTGAGCGCGGGTGAATCTGAGCGCGAGTGCGTCTGACTGTGAATGAATCTGCGTGCGAGCGAGTCTACGTGCATGAATGCGAGTCTGACAAAGCATGGTGTAAGTGTATATGAATGTCAATAGTTTGAGACTGACTGCCTCTGAGTACTCGTGACGCTGGGCGTGGCCGCCGCAAGGAGCTGCCCCGGGACTCCCCGACGGCATCGCCCGCGCGCCGCGACGCCAATGTCGGCGCGCCCCCCCGCGAGGATCGCGCCCGCTTCCCCCCCCTTTTACGCCCTCTTTGCCCGCGCACTCAAAAGTCCAAGGCTGCGGGCGCAGCGCAGCGCGGAGTCCCCGCGACGCGCGCAGGTCGACCCAGAGGGATCCCAGCGATGCGCGCGGGTCGTCCGCTGCGCGGAGCAAAGAGAGGTAGCTGGCTGGCTGATAGCGGGCAAGGCTCTTGCCGCTGGGCTGAGCCTCCTCCTCCGACCTTCTCCTCCTCCTCTTCTCCTCCTCCTCCTCCTCCTCCTCCTCCTCCTCCTCCTCCTCCTCCTCCTCCTCCTCCTCCTCCTCCTACCCCTCTTCCTCCTCCTCCTCTTCCTCCTCCTCCTCCTCCTCATCCTCCTCCTCCTCCTCCCCCTCCTCCTCCATTCTTCCGCAGCCCACTCCGTTCGTCCTCCTCAGAATTCCGACGGCCTCCGACGGAGGTGCATTGAGTGGGGGAACCGGATGCGGACTGCGCCACGGGAACCTTCGGTGGAGCTCCCTATGGGGCCACGACGCGCTGCACTGGGGGGGGGAACCGCATGCGGACTGCGCCACGGGGGCCTTCGGTGGAGCTCCTAATGGGGCCACGAAGCGCTGTACTGGGTGAGGGAGACGCATGCGGACTGCGCCACGGGGACCTTCGGTTGGGCTCCATATGGGGCCACGAAACGCTGCACTGGGCGAGAGCGACGCATGCGGACTGCGCCACGGGGACCTTCGGTGGGGCCCCTATGGGGCCACGAAACGTGCGAGGGGTGGGACGAAATGAGTGGCGGGGACGCATGCGGACTGTGCTCCTATGGGGCCACGAAACGTGTGAGGGGTGGGCCGAAATGAACGGCGGGGACGCGTGTGGAATGTGCCACGGGGCCTTCGGCGGAGCTCCTATGGGGCCACGAAACGCGTGACTGATGATGTGCCGAAGTGAGTGGCGGGGACGCATGCGGATTGTGCCACTGGGACCTTCGGCGGAGCCCCATATGAGGCCACGAAACGTGCGAGGGGTGGGCCGAAATGAGTGGCGGGGACGCATGCGGATTGTGCCATTGGGACCTTCGGCGGAGCTCTTATGAGGCCACGAAACGTGTAAGGGGTGTGCCGAAATGAGCGGCGGGGACGCATGCGGACTGTGCCACTGGGACCTTCGGCGGAGCCCCTGTGGGGCCACGAAACGTGCGAGGGGTGGGCCGAAATGAGTGGCGGGGACGCATGCGGATTGTGCCACTGGGACCTTCGGCGGAGCCCCTGTGGGGCCACGAAACGTGTGAGGGGTGGGCCGAAATGAGTGGCGGGGACGCATGCGGACTGTGCCAGTGGGACCGTCGGCGGTGCTCTTATGGGGCCACGAAATGTGTGAGGGGTGTGCCGACATGAAAGGCGGGGACGCATGCGGATTGTGCCACTGGGACCTTCGGCGGAGCTCTGATGGGGCCACGAAACGTTTGAGGGGTGTGTCGAAATGAGTAGCGGAGACGCATGCGGACTGTGCCACTGGGACCTTCGGCGGAGCTCGTACGGGGCCACGAAACGTGTGAGGGGTGTGCCGAAATGAGCGGCGGGGACGCATGCGGACTGTGCCACTGGGACCTTCGGCGGAGCCCGTATGGAGCCACGAAGCGCTGTACTGGGTGGGGGAGACGCATGCGGACTGCGCCACGGGGACCTTCGGTGGCGCTCCCCGTGGGGCCACGAAACGCTGTACCGGGGCGGGAGGAGACGCATGCCAACCGCGCCATTGGGACCTTCGGTTGGGCTCCATATGGGGCCACGAAACGTGTGATGGTGTTGATGATGCTGATGTTGATGATGATGACGACGATGATGACGATGATGACGATGATGATGATGAGGAGGAGGAGGAGGATTATGATGCTGATGATGATGGTGATGATGATGATGATAATGAGAGGAGGGGAGGAGGGAAGAGGAAGGAGAAGGAAACGCGGGGCGTTGTCTCGTCAAAAAGAGGACCCAACACCACAGGATGGTTGGGAAAAAATGTTTGACGCCCCGGTGGCCCTGGGGCTGCCCCGCTGCGCTCCCTACTTTGCCGCGACGCCGTTCCGATGCCTCCGACGCAGCCCGAGACGGCGCCGCGTTTGCCCGAACCCGCTCCCGCGTCCGCCACGATCCCAGCGCGAATCTTCCAACGTTGCTCAGGCCTGGACTCCTCAATTTCTTCCTTTTGCGAAGCTCGAACACTTCGGCCCCCGTTTCGATGCATTGGGCGCCTTCGGTGGGGGAACAGCATTAGAACAAGCTTCAAGGGATCTACGGCAGTAGCTGGCAGCGTCGCACCACCCAGCGCGCGCCACCATGCTTCGATCCGCCCAACTTCGTGGATTGAATCCACGGGCCCACATTAATATGTATATGTAACATAACACCCTCGGGGTTGGGCGTATGTTTGGACCTGTTAGGCAAAGCGCCGCCGTCGAGCGAGCAGGTGATATAGTGTTCGCCCGACGGGCCTCGAGAGAGCTCAGGGTGAACACTCCTTCGCTCGATCGCTCCGTAGGTGCACGGCTCAAGCGGATGCGCCGCAGGTCAGGTCCTGCGGTCTGGAGCTCGAGCGCTTCAGGCACTCTGACCGTACACCTTTGCGCGCCCCTCTGACCTCGACTGGTGCTCGTCCGATCAGGTGCTGATGGCGGACGAACGCCCGACAGTGCTGATGCCGGGCGAGTGTTGCCGACATCCCGTTTTGCATGATGACGGGTCCGACGCGGGCTCTGTGGTTGGCGTGGTGCGCACAGTGATGTCGGACAACCCAGGGGGCACCGCCTACGAAGTGGAATACTTTGCTGCTGGAGACCAATACCTGTCATGGTGGCTTAACTCACGGATTGCGAAGCGAGAGAAGATGATTTTACACGTGTGCCGTGGGCCAGTCTCGCGATGTCGCTACACGGCACCGCGGGCGGGGTGCCAGGTGTTCCACACCAGAGCGCCCCAGAGGCCCACGGCCGTTCAGGCAGCCGAGCGGCACATGGCAGTGCTCCAGCACGATGAGGATTGCCCCGAGCTGCCGGCTGATGTCGCTCAGGCCGCCTTAGATGAGGCTGAGGCCGCTGAGGAGGACGAGGAGCCGCCGCCGAGTCGCGCCGCTTCCGCTGGCCCGGCCAGGAAGCGCCCCGCCTGCGTAGGCAAGGCTGGGGGCGACCTGGTGGAGCTCGACGGCGACGAGGAGGCCGACGAGGCGGACGCGGACGCCTTCGCTGAGCTCGACAGGGAGCTCGCAGCGCTCTCAGGCAAGTCCGAGGGCACGAAGAGCTCGGCGAAGGACGGCTACCTGGAGCGCCTCAACAAGTTGCGGGAGAAGCTCGCGACAGTGCGCGGCCCGGAGGCCGCTGCGGGCGGGGCCACGGCCGCCGCACCCACCAAGAAGGCCAAGCTCGGCGAGGTGGTCCAGGCGAGGATGACTGGACAGGCGCCGAGTGCTGCCGCTGCTGGTCCAGCAGATGGCAGTCGTGCTCGCGGCTCAGGCGAGCGGGCAGTGCTGAAGACGCTCGCCGAGTACCTGAGTCAGAAGGGCGACGACGACGACGGCCTGTTTGACAGTGATGATGATCGCGTCCCTGGCGGGCGCCCTGTGGCGGCCCGCCGCCTCGCGTACAAGAAGATAGCGGAGAAGCATCCAGGGCGCCTCTCGGAGAGGGAGATGGAGAACATGGCGCAGTTTCTGGACCATGATGATGCTGGAGGTGTGAACAAGCATAGCCCCGTGGCGCTCAAGTTCTTGCTCCGGGTGCTGAAGCCCGCGCACCCCATTCGTGAGATTGGCGAGGACCGGTACCGCGAGCTGCGGACGCTCGCGGAGAGTGCGGACCTCATAGTCTCAGGCAAGCCCATTCACGCCCTGGACTTCATCTTCTGCAGGATCAACGCTATCCAGAAGACCATACGGGATGGCCATTCGAGGACGGCGAAGTGGTTCGAGCTCATCCCCCCCGACAATGGTGGATTGAGCCTCTCAGTTGAGGACGAGGAGCTCGTCACGGGCATCGAGGCCGCCGAGGTGCGCATGGCCCAGCTGCTCGGGCGCCTCAGGGGCCGCGGCTAGGGGTCTGGCCGGGGCGGCGGCGAGAGCTTGGCCGACCGCCCTGCAGGCCCGAGCCGCGGTGGAAGCCCGGACAGCAGAGCGTTGCCGATCACCCACATCGGCACTGCCGCGGACGCCGCAGAGTTGCGCAGCCGCTCGGGAGTGCAGCCGCCCAGGGGTCGTGCTCCTGCCCTGGAGGCGGGCCGCGCCGATCCCCCGTCGGGGAGCGGCTTGCCCGCGCTGACAGACCGCCCGGCCCCCCAGGCGGTGGGCGGGAAGCCCTTGTCGGCGTGGGCGGCGGCGCGCGCGAAGACTCCGCGTGCCGAGGGGGAGTCCAGGCGGCAGTTGAAGAAGAGGATCGCGTCGCAGTTCTTCAAGCGCCGGGCGCCGGCCAAGAACGCGGCGAAGCCGAGCGAGCCGCAGAGGCGGGTCGTGCTGAAGCATTGAGCGCGATGAGTGACGCGGCTATCGGCAGCGAGGTGGCCGCGCTGACGTTGGGCCAGTGGAAAGCGGACATCGCCTCGCGCATGTGCCGCAGCGGCCCAAGCCAAATGACAATGCTGGAGATCGGTTTCGGGATCCTCACCAGTGTCAGGAGAATACCAAGTTGCATTGGAGATTTCGCTAGAAGGTTCCCTGTGGGCGTCGCGCCACAATCGCCGGAGGCTGGTGTCGGGCGCGATGTGCTGCCCCTGCCAGTAAGGGATCCGGCAACCTTTTTCGCCTGGGAACGTGATCTGAAGAGAAGAGGAATGTTGGACGGTGAGGGATCCCCCGTGGATGTTACGAAGTGGCCAGCTGCTCTAAAGAAGGAGGCCCAAGCCATGGCGGTCGAGGTGTGGACTTTCCTGAGCGCGCTGGGCCTGAACTACTTTTACCTTGGGCACCTGAGCAAGGACCGCTGGGAAGCAGCCGGGCGCCTTTCTGAGGTGCAGGCCGCCAGCCTACGTGTGATCGGCGAGACGGTCGAGCGGCACGTGGGCGACGCGTTGGCGGCGGTGGACATCCCGTTCTGGCCTCAGGAGATGAAGAAGACGAAGTCGAGCTACGATCTGGAGGAGGACTGTCGGGCGCCCCCCTTAAAGTTCGGCGAGCTTGAGCCCGGCCTTCCCGAAGCCGAAGATATCGGCCGCTTGGACGCGCTGGACTATGTGGGGCCAGAGCTCAAGGAGGTGCTCACCAAGCCCGAGATGTCGCTCTTGCCGGAGGCCGAGTGGCCCGAGTCGCCACCGAAGGCAAAGGTCAACGTCGAGAATCTGGAGGACTGGTGGGCCATCGCTGCCAAGCTGGTGGAGCGTGGACTGCTGGCCCCTATACCAGCTGAGCGCATCTTTGTGGCCCGCGGCCGTCGCGTCCCAAATGGGTTGTTTGCTGTGACAAAGTCGGGGTCCCCAGCTGAGGGAGAGGCCAGAGTGACACGTTTGATTTTCAACATGGTCCTGACGAATACGTACCTTCGACCGTTGGCAGGGGACCCAGTGACTCTGGTACCCTCGCCGGCGCGGGTAAGCATCTCCCTTGGCCCCGAGGAGGTGCTGCTCTGGAGTGGGGACGACCAGAAGGGAGCTTTCTTCATGTACCGCATCCCTGCGCCGCGGCTGGGCCACATGGCGATCTGCACCCCAGTCCCCGGCCATGTTCTTGGCATGAAGGCCAAGGAGGTGTGGCTGGCCATGACAGTGCTGCCCATGGGCTGGGTGTACAGCGTCCCCATTTTCCTGAGCGTCCACCGGCGGGTTGCGCTTCTGGGTCGCCCTGCTGGCGCCGCCCTCCCAGCTGACCTGGAGTGGCGGCGCGACCGTCCTATCCCCGCCGCTGCAGCTGCTCCCCTGTCTCATGAGGGCCCTCGCGAGTGGTGGAGTGCGTACATCGACGACTTCGATAACTGCGAGACGGCTGGGCGCAAGGAGGCGCTCGCGAAGGTGGGCACTCCTGGCCGCCTGCAGGCCCTGATGAGGGAGAGCTACCAGCGGAATGCAATCCCCATCAGCGTGGACAAAGCCAACCAGAGGCAGCTCTTGGTCACGCGGATGGGTGTAGAGGTGGACGGGATCTCAGGCAGGGCCGCCAACAATCGGATAAAGAACGCGCAGCTGTACAGCCTTACCATGTGGCTCCTGACAAGAGGGAACCCCCTCGGGAACCAGCTCCTCATTCTCATGGGACGTTGGGTGAGGGCGCTAGAGTTTCGACGTCCTCTCTTCGGGGTGTTCAACTCGGCGTGGGGGCAGATTGGCTCGGGCCGTACTGTGTTGACCAGGGCCAGCCTGGACGAGCTGATGCACAGCTGCCTGCTGATGCCCCTCGCCTCCACCAACCTGAGGGCCGCTACCACGAGCATCGTCTCGTGCTCTGACGCCAGCGAGGACGGTGCTGGTATGTGCACGGCCGTGGGGCTCGCAGAGGGGGCCGCGAAGTTCCCGGCATCTCTCGGGAGCCCTGAGACCTGGGGCCATCGCATTGCCAGCTACACCGGCTCGTGCACGATCGAGCCGACCAGGATCGCCCCAGGGGCTCCGCCGCGCGTCCTGTTGGTGAGCTTGTTTGACGGCATCGGCGGCGCTGCTGTGTCGCTGGTGCGCGCTGGTTTCGACATCGTTGGCTACATGAGCAGCGAGGTCGATGAAGGGGCTCGCCGGGTGCTGAGATCGCGCTGGCCTGGCCTGATCGAGCTGGGCCCAGTCGAGGAAATTCACGACCGACAGCTTGAGGCTCTGGCAATGTTCCAGGATCGGATTGTCGCCGCGGTCGTTGCGGGAGGCAGCCCTTGCCAGGACACGAGCGGTGTGAACGCCGACCGACAGGGCGCACATGGCGCTCGGAGCGGCCTGTTCAAGCGCATACCCAAGGTGGTGAGCGCACTGGCTCTCGTCATGAAGGTGCCTGTCCATTGGCTTGTGGAAAATGTAATCTCAATGAGCGCAGAATCCCTCCAGGAGTTCTCCCGCATCCTCCAGACTAGGCCCATCAGCGTGTGCAACTCCCTCTTTACCGAGAATAGAAGGCCACGTTTGTACTGGTTGTCTTGGAGAGAGGCGGTCCTCAAGCTCCCCGGGGCGCACGTGGAGCCCAAGGCCAACTACGACCTCATCAGGGCGCTCCAGGTCCCGAAGGCTCCTGCTGGCTCTCGGGTTGCCGCAGGGTGCTCCAGGGCCTCGGACAAGGGGCCAGTCTGCACGTTTCTCCAGCGGCGTGAGAAGACTGCCCCGTACAAGCCTGCAGGTTTATCGACAGCGAGCCCAGAGGCCATCCAGAGGTGGACCCAGGACCTGCACGCGCACCCCCCATACCAGTACGAGCTAGTTTACATGATTCGGGACTCCAAGGGGGACTTGAGGCCCTTGTGTGCCACGGAGAAGGAGGTGCTCATGGGGTTCCCTCGCCACTACTCGTCGTCCGTAGCCAGCTCGGGCTCCAGCCGTGGCAGCGTTGAGAACGATCGCTGCAGCCTCTTGGGGAACGCGTTCGCCTGCTGCGTCGTTAGCTGGCTGCTCCTCGGTCTGAAGTGCCAGTTGGGCTGGCCCGTCAGGGCGACTGAACTCGAGGGGATCACGAGCGAGTTGGAGGTAAAGGACTTGCTCGACGAGTCGGTGGAGTTCTCGAGGGACCCCATCAAGGAGACCCCCATCGGCCGCAAGCTGGTCGAGATTTTCTGGACGATTGCCGAGAAGTCGGGGAGCGACATCCGCCTCGACATCGGTGTGCCTTTCCGCCCCAAGGCGTGGCCGCGATCCTCGATCGACCCGGCGCCGTGGCGCTGGCGGCCGACGCTGTCCTTTCCGCGGCCGAAGTCGTCGAGGGAGCTGCATATCAACGCGCTCGAGTTGAAGGCGGTGAACGCTTCCTTGCGGCACAGGACTCGCACTACATCGTTCAGGAGCGTGAAGGTTCTGCACCTTGTCGATTCCCAAGTTGTGGTTTCGATACTGACCCGCGGCCGCACGTCCTCGGGGAAGCTTCGAGGACTCGCTCGACAGTACGCTGCTATACTCGTCAGTTCAGACTTGTATGTGGGCGTTGGGTATATCAATACCAAGCTCAACCCAAGTGATCGGCCGTCCAGGGAGTTCTTGACTAAGATATGGCGCCGAAAAGAGTCCAAGTGACAGCTCGCGGCGGCAGGCGTCGCAGTTGGTTGCATGTGCGTTCTCAATTCAGTAAGCGAGGCACGCGGCTGCGTGACCTACAGGTCACTAAAGCCACGCGTGATCGGCATGTTCGATGTGCCGGTCGCCTTTTTGCGTGGTGGAGGGCGCACAGTGTGAAGCTGTCCTCGCTCAACGACGTGGACAAAAGCCTCAGCTTGTACATAGAAGCGTGCTGGGCAGAGCTGGAGCCGCTTTACCTGGC